CTTGGAGACAAACTTTGAAGATCTTGGAAAGTCCCAACTTAGCTTGGAGGACAAGCTAGCTAAATTTCTAGAGAGAAGGAAGAACTTATGTTTTGAAAGTGTAAGGGAAAGAATGAAAGGTGTCTTCTAGGTTAGCTTAGAATACAATCATGAGGTGAAATGTCTTCATTACCCTTACTAAGATGTAGAAGTGTAAGGGAACAAGGGAACTATTCTCAAAGCTTTAGGTACAACACATTGACTTGGGTTGACTAGTCAATTACTAGTCTCCGACTATTAAATTTTCAGGAATTAAAATAATAAACCACCAATTAGATTAGGATTAATTACTTAATTAATCCTTAAATAGAATTTGGATTTACGGGGTGTCACAAAGCCATCCATAAAACTTGGTTAAAGTAGAAGAATGAGTATGGAAATAATATTGAACTAATAGGACTCATGATCCCATGAAATAATGCAAAATGGACTACATGTGTTTTGAATAAATATAGAGATTAAATCATGCCCAAACATAGGCTAGTGAACTACTGCTACTGCTACTACCTACCTGACATAGTGACATGCTGAGGTCAATGGCAAACTGCATAGTTGACTAAGAGATAGGTCAAGAAGAGAATAAGATAACTGATGATAGTCTGAACTTGACATCATCCCCCTTATACTACATCAGGGCCGCATGACATAGACATGTGCATCATGCATGGACTGATGGACCACACGCTCCGTCATCCCCAGCCATATGCGTGTCCTATCAAGTGTCACGCTTTTCTGCCAAACCATCCTATACGCATCACGTCGTTAGACACGAACAAGGTCCATGCCAGCTAGAGCTGTCAATGCGGGCTAGCGAGGCGGGACCCACCAAAGCCCCGCATTTGGCAGGGCGGGCTAAAAAGCCCGGCAATCGTACGGGCCTATGTAGGGGTAGACCGACCCGCTCCCCCTTAGGCCTGCGGGCCCCCGCCAAAGCCCGCCAGTTTTTGTTTTTTGTTTTTTTTTTTTTTTTTTGGTTTAATATTTATTTAATGTAATTATTTACCATGTGTCTAAAGTATAAACTCTAATGTGTATATAGTTGTAAAAAGTTCACAAATCATTAAAAATAAGTAAATAACAAAAATTAGTTCATCACATAATGACAATAATGACACCATAGAGTCCAAATAGTCAATGCACCATACTACATAAGTTCATAAATAATACTACACTCAAATGCTAATTTAGTAGTTAGTACAATGCTAAATTAGTATAGTAATTATATTCACTAATTAGAAACTATCTGTAATCATATATTCTATATAATATATTCATATGTAAACTACTAATCATATCATTCATACAATCATATGTACACTATAAAATAAATTAAATGAAAGGGAAAGAAAAAAAAGGAAACTAAATTACCTGGACTTGGACTACTGGACTACTGGAGAGACGGAAAATTAGGAATTTGGGTTTATTGATTAGGGCTTTTAGTTAGACTTTTAGTTTTTATATTTAGTTTTATTTTATTTTATTTTATTTTTAAAAAAGAAGAGGTGGGGTGGCGGGCTTCCGCGGGCTAAGAGGGGGCCGACAAAAAAACCCGTTTTTAATACGAGCTTTTAAAACACGAGCCCGCCCTGCCCTTTTGGCGGGGTGGGACGGGCTAGCCCGGCAGGCTAAGCCGTTTTGACGGCTCTAATGCCAACCACCCCGGAGACCTTGCTTGCTCATCCCTCTACCTTGTTGTACGCTTTCCTCACCCACTCGTATATCGTCACCCACCTTTCACTGGTTAACCACCCTAGGCGATCACTCACATACGCGGAATGAGGGGAGAGAAGCCCCTGCGCCCTAGACCAAGATCGGTTCACCGACTGGTCGACTTCGGCCCACTAGAGTACACCATCCTCGGCGGATCAGGAATCAAGGCCAGGGGCGCTGGCCAGCACTCCCACATTTCACGCTGTCAAAATCACCCTTATCCCCTTTCTAGAAAAAAATCCACATCCATTTCCCTAAACGGGCTCCCATTTGGCCAAACCCACCATCCCTCCTTTAATTTAATTGTTCTTGAACCATGCCCTCTGAGAATATATGTATATATGTATGTATGTATGTATGTATGTATGTATGTATGTATGTATGTATATATATTGTGTGTGTGTGAATATAATGGGTCATAGGGCCTAGCGGGCTATAGTTGCTTAATTTGCCTATGAAGGTGGGAGCCTAATGGCATGAGGTTGGGTCTGATTATTACTTGGACTTCGAGGGATTAGGGAGGAATGAGGGAAAGTAAGCCCAAGACTTAGGAGAATGAGGGAAGAGGACTAAAAATGGATCAAAAAGGAAAAAGGTACATATATGAGGAGTCAAACACGAGACTTGCAAAATAGCTAAACAGACATCACCCATCCAGGGTACCTTAACTTTTGTACAAGTTAGAGCAATAAACAATACATATTGGTAAAAGGGGTTGAACAGTGACACATGGCAACCTACAGTGATAACAAGTGGTGGACATGGTTGATTGAATGAGTGGGATATATGTAATGGTGGCCTTACACCCCTCTCCCCGACCCCCTCCCTTCCCTTCTAACATCATCAGGTGTTCACTGTTAGGGAATTTAGTTCAGTGGCCTCTTGTCTACTATTTCAACAGCTAGACTATGATTTGAATCTCCAAAAGGTCATAATTAACTTGTGCCTTGTATTTACTCCATAGCTCATTGTGAATATTATCTAAATCTAATATTATTGTTATTTTAACATGTTTCATTTGTATCTATACCAATTTATGATGGACCTCAAAACCAATATATGAGAGCATGATTCTAGGTAAAAAGTGAAGACATATTTGATCAATTCATTTGGGTAGATCAACAGTTAAGGGTTGCTAGAAAATAAGAGTAAAAAGGGGGTTAGTTTTATAAATATTGCAAACTTATTATAAAATTGACCTTGTATTGTGTGTGTGTGTGTGACACCACCGATTTCTAATCACAACTTAAAGCATTAACTTGGCAAAGATAAGTAAATAAAGTCTGTTGGTCCCAAAAGAGGTAAGGTGAAAGTCTAGAGGGGGGGGGGGGTGAATAGACTTTCAAACTTTTTCGCACAGCACGACAATTGCTAAGCCAGAGATAAACCAAAACTCTTAACTAGATTGTTAGAGTATGGTGCACAGCGGAAATAAATAAACATAAAGTGTGTGTGATTCTCATGTGAAACATCCCATACTACAACCTCAATTGGCTCGGTCCCCAACTTGAAATTGCATCCCATACTACAACCTCAATTGGCTCCCAATTTCAATTCTACATTGGCTCCCATCTTGAATTGATTCTCATGTGAAACATCCCATATACAACCTCAATTGGCTCCCAATTTCAATTTTACATTGGCTCCCATCTTGAAATGAGAACCCAATTTCAATTCTACATTGGCTCGGTCCCCAACTTGAAATTGCATCCCATACTACAACCTCAATTGGCTGCGCCCAACTCCATCAGATTAATTTAATTTGGCTTCTCAAATTTTACCTTGTAAAATTGTTGATGGTGAGTTTCAAGCTTGAGCCATTTCACATAATATATCAAGCATCATCCACTTCGTCCGTACAACTTTTGATTAAATCTCCAATCATATTTGATGTACTCCTTTCTTTCCATAGATGCTTGATCTCCAAGTCAATTTCATGCATTCTTCCAATATTAATTTTCTTCACGAAAATTCTTCTGGGATATCTTCTTTGAGTAGCATTGACGTGATTTCATATCATTCATCTTCTTCTTCAATTTGTCATTTTCTCCAGACAAATTCTTGATTTTAGGCTTTATATCTTCTTCTTCTATTTTCATCCATCTTCCTCTGTTTTTCTCCTTTCATAATTAAATAATTTCCCGATCTTGGTCTAAGACTCTACTAGACCTATTAAACAAAATTGGGGGATCTACAAATACAAATTTGGCATATCAAAACCATTACACTTTATTCCTAACAATTTCCCCCCTTTTGATAATGCCAAAACCTATACTCAGTCATTGGCTTTAAGTCTTTGAAAAATAATCTTTTTGCTCAATTTTATTTGACAAAACCAAGATGAGTTTAACAAATGGTTTTCTAGACACAATCAAAAGAAACTTGTGAATTAAATTTTTAGACAAGCTCCTAAACGCATCTTGAATTATTATTTTTATTTTTTATTTTGATCATCATCAATTTTTAATTTTGTCGTGCGTTTGACATATTTCTTGTCTTTTAATTCACGAAAGTCTAATTACATTAAACAAATAAAATTAAAGACTCAAAATAGACCATGGGAAATATTTATTGTTATATTTCAAATTTATAGAGAAAAACGCAACAGGGGTTCGAAAATAGAGAAAATATCAGCTTAAGAGAATTTTCAGATTACCTTCTGGGTTTCTTCACACCAGAGTCTTTCTTTAAAATTTCCTTGACATGTTCTCTGAGCTTGAAGAAATCATCTTTGAACTTTGCATTCTGAAATTTCTTTGTAAGCTGTCCGGCCATGTAATGTCCATAAGCTTCTTTGATATTGTTGCCCGGAAGAACTCCGTTTTCCCACCATAAGACACATTCTTCGAAGCTTCTTTCTTCTCCAAGATTCATGCCCATATTTCCAGTGAAATCTCTTAGTTCATACCACATCTCGGTTCTTTTCCTTTTGACTTCTTCTTCTTTATTCTTCTCCGAGATCCATTGGGCTTGATCGGCTGCAGGCCATTTCTTGATCATGCTTGGTAAATTTTCCTTGGTCCATATTGTTGTTGTTAGACTATAGTATATTATTATTATTATTAATAATGTTATGTTATGATGTAGTCTAGGTTAGTCCTAGTCTAGTGGCTATTAGTTAGTTCTCTCTCCAGAGAGTATTAATTGTAATCTGTTTCAGTTATTGAATTGATTATCTCTTTCCACATTCATCTGGTATCAGTTAGCCAGGCAAATTCCACGCAAATTTTTTTTTTCCCCCTCCATCGACAATGTCCAATAGCTCTGAGCGCACCGTGACCACCATCTCCTCCCCAAATAATTCCCCCAACACTTTAACGAGCGCACATCATTTTGTGTCGCTCAAGCTTACCCATCGGAATTACTTATACTGGCGGACTCAGGTGATCCCGTTCCTCCGGGGTCAAGGTCTGCTGGGCTTCGTAGATGGTACACGGTTGCAGCCCTCACCATTCCTAGAGGTCCCCGCCGGCAGTAACTCCAGCGACAACATCTCTACGACGGAGAATCCGGCGTATGCAGCCTGGGTACAGCAGGACGCATCAATCCTCTCTCTTTTAATCTCCTCACTGTCTGAGGAGGTGATGTATCTAGCTCTTGGACAAACCACCGCACGTGGTGTTTGGACTGCAGCAGAGACGGCCTTAGGATCATCCACGCAGGTTCGGTGTCTCAATCTGCTTGGGCAGATCCAATCCCTTCGCCATGGAGACAGCTCCACCTCCGAATATCTGGGCAGGGCGCAGCATCTTGTTCAGGATCTCGCACTTGCCGGGAGAACTCTCACGCCGTTGGAGCAGAATCTGTACGTCTTTCGCGATTTAAGGCCGGAATTCCGGTCAATGGCGTCCGCATTGGCGATCAACGGAACGCCCGTTTCCATTCTGCAGTTGGCGGATTTTCTCCAGGCCCAACAATTCATCCATGAGGATGATTTCCCGACGCACACATCGGCAGCAGTGGCCGGGTCTCCGTCGGCGATGTACGCATCGCGTGGTGGCGGTGGTCGTCGTCAGCATGGAGATGGCGGCCGGCAGTCACGTGGTGGCGGAGGACGCGGCAATCAACGAGGTGGCAGAGGAGGCCGCGGTCGGTCAGGTGGAGTGCGCTGCCAAATATGCAGCAAGCAGGGGCACTCCGCCGCATTTTGCTACCGGCGGTACTCCGAACCGCCGCCGACTGCTCATGTTGCGGTTGCAGGTGGCGGTCCAGCGCCGGCATCCTCGCCCTCGGTGACCACCTGGCTCCCAGACACGGGGGCCTCAATGCATGCTATCCCCGATTCCAGCATGCTCACGCAATCCGAGGAGTATCACGGTGACGACGTGTTGCGAGTGGGCGATGGCACAGGTTTGGCCATCTCGCGTGTGGGTCATCCAGCAATTCCATCTATTAATAAATCTTTAAAAGTGTCCAGTATTTTACATGTTCCTGAGTTGTCTGCATCGTTATTATCCGTTAATCGGTTTTCTAGAGATAATAACTGCTATTTTGAGTTTCACCCCACGTTTTTTGTTGTGAAGGACTGCATCGCTCAGGCGGTCTTGCTTAAAGGGCCAAGCTCGGGGGGCTTGTATTCGTTGTCAGTTCCTAGCGCGCATTATGCTTTTGTTTCGGCTCGCGCCACTTCCGCGGTCTGGCATTAGCGTCTCGGTCACCCACACAGTCAGGCGCTTCATCGTGTTCTGCGAGAATGCCCCGTTGAGTCCAATAAAACCATTGTTCCTAAATTGTGTGCTCCGTGTCAACTTGGCAAGTCTGCCCGATTTCCTTTAGATAGGGTAGTAAAGTCAAGTAATAATGTACTCGATTTAGTTTTTACTGATATATGGGGCCCCGCACCAGTTATTTCTGCGGCTGGTTCCCGTTATTTTGTACTATTCGTAGATGATAACACCCGCTACTGTTGGTATTATCCTCTACGTCTTAAAACCGACATATAAAATCTTTGATATTTTTCGGGCGGCGGTAGAACGCACCTTTTCGTGTTCTATCAAGTCCATCCAGTCCGATTTGGGAGGGGAATACCAAAAATTACACAAACTGTTCACAAAGTTAGGGATTGTCCACAGGCAATCATGCGCCTGCACACACGAGCAAAATGGCCGTGTGGAACGCCGACATCGGCATATTGTCGAGACCGGCTTGGCGCTAATGGCACAAGCGTCTGTCCCACAACACTATTGGGATCACGCGTTTGAAACAGCCACCTTCCTAATCAACCGACTCCCGTCTGCTCCACTCCAGTTTGATACGCCCTATTACCGCCTATACAAAGCCCCACGCACGTACACATATCTACGTGTGGTTGGGTGTCTTTGTTTTCCTTATCTCCGTCCGTATAACCGTCATAAAATCGAGTACCGGTCGAGTCCCTGTGTCTTCTTAGGTTACCCACCATCACTTAGGGGTTACCGCTGCATGAACCTGGACACCGGGAAGACCTACACTTGCCGTCACGTCCGCTTTGACGAGTCCATTTTTCCTTTTGCAGAAACTAGTCCCAAAGTTCGAGAAGTGCCACCTGAGATCCAAAGTGCACCATGGGGCTCTAGTCCCATTCTCCAAAGTGGAAGTAGTACCATATCAGCACCACCAAGTGCACCAGCACCACCGGTTCCTTGTGCACCGGCTCGTGCAACGAGGAAAAGGGGTCCACGGACACGGCCCCTGGAACGGGCCCACGTCATGCGGCTACGGCGTATGACAAAAGGGACTGGGGAACAACTTCAGGCACTCACAGCTTCAACTGCGGACCCGACTTGCTATTCCCAAGCAGTTGGGCATCCACAGTGGCGAGACGCTATGGACCAAGAGTTCAATGCGTTACTCCATAATGACACGTAGCAGCTAGTTCCTGCTACACCGAGCATGAACGTTGTGGGGTGCAAATGGGTGTTTCGCACTAAGCGCAAAGCCGATGGTTCGGTTGAGCGCTACAAGGCAAGGCTGGTGGCCAAGGGTTTCAACCTGGTTGCAGGCGAGGACTTCTTCGAGACATTTAGTCCCGTGGTCAAACCAACCACAGTTCGGATATTAGTGTCATTTGCCATATCACGCGGGTGGACACTCCGTCAGCTGGATGTCCACAACGCCTTCTTGAATGGACACTTGTCTGAGACTGTCTACATGCGCCAGCCACCGGGGTATGAGGACCCCAATCACCCTGATCATGTCTGTCACTTACGACGTTCCTTATACGGGCTTAAACAGGCCCCGCGGGCCTGGTTTCACCGTCTACACAATTTCTTACTTGTAACCGGGTTTATTGCCTCCAAAACAGATGTGTCTCTGTTTCACTACTCAGCTGCAGACTCTCGTGTTTTCCTGCTTGTATATGTAGACGATATCATCATGCTCGGAAATGACGCCACCTTAGTTGAGTCTCTACTACAGCGGCTAGCTACGGCGTTTAAAATCAGGGATCTCGGGGCACCGACTTTTTTCCTTGGCATAGAAACCATCACCGTTCCAGGTGGTATGATTCTCACACAGCGGCGGTACATACGAGACATTCTGCAACGAGCGGGCATGACAGACTGCAAGCCGCTAGCCACACCAGCGTCTCTTACTCAGCCAGTCAGCCAGTCCGATGAGCTTTTTGATAATCCGACGCAATACAGACGGCTAGCGGGGGTACTTCAGTACCTTTCCATCACTCGACCGGATATATCCTATGTGGTCAACCGATTGTGCCAGTTTATACACAGTCCCACACAGGAGCATTGGGGTTTGCTTAAGCGAGTTCTTCGCTATATAAAGGGGACTTTAGACTACGGACTACGCATATCACCATCCACGACCTCGGAAATACATGCATACTCGGATTCGGACTGGGCCGGGTGTCCTGTGGATTGCAAGTCCACCAGTGGTTATGCTGTCTTCATTGGTACCAACCTTGTCTCATGGGTCTCCAGGAAACAGCGTACAGTGGCTCGTTCATCAACGGAGGCCGAATATAAGGGCTTAGCAGATGTTTGTGCAGAGGTAACATGGGTCCTATCTTTACTCCGTGAGTTGGGTCTTGACTCCACCACTCCTCCGACACTTTGGTGCGACAATCTTGGAGCAACATACTTATGCGCCAATCCAGTCTTTCATGCGCGCACTAAGCATGTTGAGGTGGACTACCACTTCGTCCGGGACAAAGTTTCGTCTGGCGAGTTTCGGGTCAACTTCGTCTCCACCAAGGACCAGCTTGCTGATATTTTTACTAAACCACTACCGGCTGCGCGCTTTGGTGTTCTTCGCTCCAAGCTCAATGTGGTGCATCACCCACCTTGCGCTTGAGGGGGAGTGTTAGACTATAGTATATTATTATTATTAATAATGTTATGTTATGATGTAGTCTAGGTTAGTCCTAGTCTAGTGGCTATTAGTTAGTTCTCTCTCCAGAGAGTATTAATTGTAATCTGTTTCAGTTATTGAATTGATTATCTCTTTCCACATTCATCGTTGTCTGAGTGGCGGTACCCTTAGAGCATTTGAACCAGCCACGCTGTTCAGCAACCTTCGATGTACTTGTACCAAGACTAGGATTCGCGAACTGAGCAAAACCAATCTGAGATGGTCCTTGTGAGGATTGTCCACGGCTTCGGCCTCTACCTTGAGTAGACACTACTGGCTGTTGTTGACTTCCAAGAATAAATTCTTGTTGTTGCAAAGCCATGTGACTGAGAATTTCTTCCCCCCTTTTGGCGTTATCAACCAAAAATGCAAGGGTCTTAAAATCTCGATCTTGATTTGCCTTCACAGTTTCAACACTGTTGTGTGTTTTAATGGAAACGGTTTGCACGTTGTCAAGCTTGTTTGTTGTAACTGCGAGTTCAGCTTCAAGTTTGTTGATTCGGCTTTCTTGGTCTTGAATCGCTTTGATTTGTCTCAAGTGACGTTCGTTGTTAATCTTTTCAGCTGCTTCTCGTTCCTTCTTCATGAGCTGAATCACTTCAAGTAAGCCTTTTGTCAATTCTCCTTTCAAAATTCTTTCTGCTTTGTCAATCTGGGTCTTCAAAATATTTTGATGCTCCATTAATTCCTTCAGATTGACTCATGTATCCGTGTGTTGTTGATCCATCTTTTGATTTTGTTCAACCAACTTTTCTCCAATTGTTTGACAAACAACATCACTGGATTCGGCCACTTTGGCAAATAAGGATGAAAATATGCCATCATCTTGATCATTCATCTGCACAAAGTTTTGAGGGGATCCGAATGGACTTCCATTCGGATCTGTGAGAACAACTGTATCAATAAGTTGCATCCCTTCTTCTTCAGGTGATTCGGCTTCTTGATTGAGATCACCAACTTGTTCTTCTAAGACTTCTGTTCTTGTGTAGTTGTCTGCAAATAATTCTTCATTTTCTTGAACAGGGTCCATGGTAGGCATGGTAGACTCGGTATGGTGTACCGACAATACACTGGATAAATCCTTTGTGATTTGCAGTCTACTCTCAGTAGTAACTTCTACTGCAACTTCCACTGGTATATCTCTTCTTCTTTCTTCTGACACTTCTCGTACTGACACTTCGGCTTCATTGGATCCCACAAGTTGGTCATTGCACTCCAGATTCACATTAGTTGTTGTGGGGGTCAGATCAGATATTAATAAAGAAGCATCATGGACTTTCACAGGTATGTCCATATGATTTTCAGTACTTATGATTGGTACATCAATGAGTGCCGTCCCTTCAGTTCTTTCATCAAAAATTTCATTATCCACAAGAGATGTGTTACCTGGATAATGATGTGTGTCATAAACTAACCTTTGCAGAGCTAACTGAAGTGAAATTTCATTCTGTCGTTCTTGTTCGGCTAAACGGTCTTGAGCCATACTGCCTCCCTTTATTGGAGCTTTTCCTTTTTGTTTGGCTGCCTTCTCGTGTAGTTTCATGTGATACACTTGATTTAAATCCATGTTGAGTGCATCTAGCATTACGTTTGTTCCGCACCATTCCAAGGAAAAATCTTCACTCCGTATCAATTCTGGGGTGATTTTTGACATGAAAGAATGATATCTTTCAAGTTTCCATTCTCTCCAAGTTTGCACCATTATCAATTCTTTCAACAGTTCCGGATCATCTTGAATGAGAGCTGAGTCAAAAACTATAGGTCCTGCACTTCCTTCGGCTACAGATTGACTCGAGAGTCTTCTTTGTAGATCATTTGAAATTTGCACATCAACTCCTGAAAATTCCATTCTTGTAGTATCGTCAACTCCTTCGGCCAACAAGTTTGGTTCGGCATATTTGATCGGAACAACTGCCATAGCCGTACTGATGGCTTCCTGATCGATTGCTTGATCCCATTTGATTACTTGAGGTTGAAATTGCTTTGCTGTGTCTCGGTCTGGAACTCTGAGGTGTTTTTGAACTTGTAGAACTCCCACCTTCTTGTCCTCTTCTCTGGCTTGACCTTTTTTCCAAAATTAGGACTGAATTTTCTGAAGAGAGCTCTGTAAATTCCAATATTTTTGTGTTTTCTCATTGGAATTGTCTTCTTCCTTAGCAGTTCTCCAATGATGAGACCATATCCAACACTTTGATAGAATCGATCCACTACAGCAGGTTTCTTCATTGGTTTGGCAGCATGAACAAAAATAACCATCTTCCAGTAGATAAATTTTGCCCATTTGAATTTTATCCCTTTCATGATTCTGTCCATCAGGCACACTGTTGAGGCAGTCAAATCTTCAGTACTACCCAGTTTGTGTTCAAGAATCTTGTAAATCATGTCCACCAACATCTCATATTCAAACTTCAATACATTCTTATGAGCGGATACATCAGAGAAAATTGGAGCCGTAGGACCACGAATCTCGTTCCAAAAATTTTGAACAACATAGCTGTGAGATTCTGGCATTATCTGAGATTCAGGAAAGTTGAAGCACTTGTGTATGTCATCTTCTGTGATCGAAACTTCTGATCCTCCAACTCTAGATTTAATCGAGTCCTTTTCAACGACTGCATGTAGATAAAATTCAGCTACATCTTCTTCAAAGGTTCCAAAGTAGTTGTAGGTGAAGAAATCAAACAGTCCACAGTCTTTTAAAGCTTGGAGAATTTTCTCGGCCGTGTCCTTGTTGGTAGAACCTAGTCTGAAAAACACAGGATTGAGAACCATCCCATTCGTCACTTGTTGAGAGAGAGCAAAAATAGGATCAATTTGCTTTCTTCCAGATTGGGCCATGATGATCAGATCGATTGATCGAGGAGAGATAATTTGAGAGAGAGAGTTTTCTAATATTCTGAAGGTCTTGAAAGAGTTTTTGAGGTATAAGAGAGGGGTTTATATGAGGAGGATGACTCGAAGGGGTTTTTCGAATTTAAGAGAGAGATATGAGACTTCTCAATTGTACCCTTTGGTTGAGGTGTGTCGATTGGGTGAGTTTAGGGTAGATGAGTCATCTGATAGAGAGTGTTACAAGGAAAGAGAAAATGTCATCATGAGCAGACAAGAGCATTTAATGCTCACACCTCTTTAGAAATACCCAATGCACGTAAGGTGTAGAGCGTGGAGATTTGAAGAGACACTTAGGAAGGATTTGGGTTTTGATCTCCTTGAGATTTGTTTGTGGGGATCGATTAAGAGTGTGGATTTTCTAAATTCCTATCCAATATATACTAGTTATATGTATTATGAATGGGTAATGCACGAATAAAATTTACTCATAAACTCCCAAATCTAAAAGTGAAAAAAGTTGGCCATAATTAAAGAGAAAGTGCTCCGCTTTCCTCGGGTTCTCCGATCGTGATCGGCGATCGTGATTTTGATCGTGTTTCTGAGAGTGGCCCTCTCTCTTAGCGGTGGCTGAGGGAGTTTTACCCCTAGAAATCTAGGGTTTTCGTTTGCTGGTTATATAATGGAAACTCGTTTGCAGTATCGTCTCATTCATCGCGTTTATTATTTTCAAGCGACGCTCACTTTGCTTTTTCTGTATCTCGGCTCTGTCAACATGGCTACATTGTCGATCGAAGAACGTTGTGCGGCTTTATCAATAACAGAGGAGGAGACAGGAGGACTGGCGGTGCCCGATCTCCAGGAATCAGCCAGATCCAGCGACTATTGGACATTGGTGGGGCGTTTTCTCACCGATAGATTGGTCAAATTCAACCACATGCAGCAGATCATGGCGTCCGTTTGGCGTCCTGTGATGGGAATGCATGCGACTTCGTTGGAGGAGAATCTTTTCCTCTTCCAATTTCCACATCCGAAGGACATGCAACGAGTTATCGATGATGGCCCATGGTCCTTCGAGAATCAGACGCTGGTTTGTGCGCAGGTGCCTCCCGGGACGAGACCGGAGGACGTTGTGCTGGACTCTGTTCAGTTTTGGATTCAAATCCATGGCTTACCATCCATGTACGCGTCATCGGAGTTCATCGCTCGCATCGGCAATTATGTCGGTGAATTCGTGGCAGAGGACCCCTTCAATTTCGGCGGTTCATGGAGAAGCTATTATAGAATGCGGGTGAAACTAGCGGTTGATACTCCGCTGAAACGGAGGATGAAGTTATGTCGGAAAGATGGCTCCACACAATGGCTTACGTTCAGGTATGAGCGCTTAAATGCTTTCTGTTTCTGTTGCGGCCTCTTAGGCCACATTGATAAATTTTGTAAGAAGGTTTATGAAGAGGGGATTGAGCCTGAATGTTTTCCATACGGATCATGGATGAGGGCTGGGGCTAGACGCCAAGCTAAGCCCGTCGGAGCTAAATGGCTTCTTCCGTCTACTGGACACGCTCCGGTTGTAAACACAGGGGCGGGTTTCACACAAACACCACTGGATATGGTGACATTGGAGGAGGCTGGGGGTATTCAGGGGGATCTCAAACGGCGAAGGGAGGATGACGATGTGATGAGTTCGATGAGGGAGGATGATGTGTTGATGGCGGAAAATATGAAATCAATTGATTCGGCGGGTCTGGTTGGCCAGGCTCGCCCGGCTCAATGAGCGTCCTAAGCTGGAACTGCCGGGGTTTGGGTAGCACCCGGACAGTTCGAGAACTATTGGGCATTGTGTCCAAGCAGCAGCCCAACTTCGTCTTCTTGATAGAAACGAAGTCGTATGTCAGTAAGTTAGAAGAAGTACGAATGCAGTTAGGTTTTGAGGGGGTGATTGGCGTCGACAGAGTGGGGATGGGGGGGGGGGGGGTTTGGCATTATTCTGGAGGGATTCACATATGGCATCTTTGATCAATTACTCAAATAACCACATCGATGTGGTGGTGTCTCTTCCGGGTAAACCTGATTGGAGACTAACGAGGTTCTATGGGAGCCCGGACAGGTCTAACAGACGGGAAAGTTGGGATTTACTTCGGCAGCTCAAAGGTCAATCTAATCTGCCTTGGGTTGTCATTGGCAATTTCAACGACATCTCGTGCCTTTCAGAGAAGCGGGGAATACACTCACACCCAGCGGCGTTGATTGATGGGTTTAACGATTCTTTGAACGATTGTCAGTTAATTGATTTGGGGATGATCGGGGGTTGGTTTACATGGGATAAGGGCCGAGGTACTGAGAATTGGGTGGAAGAAAGACTGGACAGAGCAGTGGCATCAATAGACTGGATGGAATGTTACGAGGAGGCAATGGTACGTAAAATACCGGTCCTTTTTTCCGATCATAGTGCTACTTTCTTGGACGTTGATGCGAGGCCGGTAAGGAACGCAAAGAGGTCTTTCCGTTTCGAATCAGCGTGGTTATTGGAAGAGGGTTGTGGCCGGGTAGTTGAACAGGCTTGGCGTCATTCGTTGGGGATGGAGTTTCAGCAACGTATTCATTTATGTGGACAGCGCTTATTGAGGTGGGGCGGGGAACATTTTCGCCGTTTTGGCCGGCGGATCACTGACCTGCGCAAGCAACTGGAAATGCTTAAGGAAAACAGAGACACGCGAGCAGTGAATGAGTATTTGGCCGCGGAGGGTGAGCTCGAGACATTATTACGTCAGGAAGAATTGTTTTGGAAACAACGTTCCAAACAGTTATGGTTGGAACACGGGGATCAAAACACTAAATATTTTCATAAAGCCGCCTTGAGCCGACGACGCAAAAATTCTCTTATACGATTAAAAGATCCGACAGGTGTGTGGCGGGAGGGGGTCCATATGCACGAGGAAATCCTCAGGTACTATAATGCTATTTTTCTTGCTGAATACAATAATCCGGCTATTTTTGGCCGAGTCCATCCGCGGGTAACAGAAGAAATGAATGAAACACTTCTTCAACCGTTTACGGTTAATGAGGTGAAAGAGGCGTTATTCTCCATGGCACCGGAGAAAGCCCCTGGCCCGGACGGTATGTCACCATCCTTCTATCAGCACTTTTGGCCGATAGTGGGACATGACTTATCAATGTTCGTACTAAACTGTATTGCAACCGGCAGATTTCCACAAGCTTTAAATGATGCTAACATGGTTCTACTTCCTAAGAAAAAGACGCCTGAGAGAGTTGCGGACCTACGCCCGATTGCGTTATGCAATGTGGGGTATAAAGTATTGGCTAAAGTTCTAGCCAACCGTATGAAACCGGTCCTAGAAAGTGTGGTTTCGCAATCACAAAGTGCGTTCGTGCCAGAAAGGTTATTAACAGATAACATAATTGTTGCAGGAGAAATTGGACATTATTTGAGACGCAAAACGAATGGTGCTTTAGGCTGGGTAGCTTTGAAGCTGGATATGGCCAAAGCCTACGACAGGATGGAATGGGGTTTCTTGCGGGGAATGTTGGACGCGCTGGGCTTTGCACAACAGTGGACAAATCTTCTTATGCTGTGCGTGTCGATAGTCAAGTACACCATCCAGGTAAACGGGGAAGCAGTGGGACAGGTTTGCCCCACACGAGGTATTCGACAAGGCGATCCACTTTCTCCATACCTCTTTATTTTGTGTGCGGAGGCGTTATCGTTATTACTTCAACATGCAGAAGCAGCAGGGACAATCCATGGCGTCCGAGTGGCACGTGGAGCTCCACCTATAACTCACCTTTTCTTCGCCGATGACAGCTTGCTGTTCTTTAAGGCTACACGGGGGGAAGCGCAAAGGGTGAAAGATTGCTTGGAGGAATACAGTGAGGCATCCGAGCAGCGTATCAATTTCGAGAAGTCAAGCGCCATGTTCAGTGCTAATACTCCAGTGGTAAGCAGACAAGCGGTGGTGGACTGTATAGGGGTGCGTGAATCTCCTGATCTCGGCCGCTATCTGGGGCTACCTTCGATACTAGGCCGCAATAAAACGGCAACTTTTCGATTTATACAGGAAAAGGTCCGGGAACGAATGGGGGCTTGGCATCAGAAGTTTCTATCAAAAGCTGGTAAGAAAGTTATGCTTAAGAGCATTGCGCAGGCTCTCCCGATATTTACAATGTCAGTTTTCTTATTGCCTTTGAGTGTGTGTGACGCGATAGAAAAGTTGTTTAACAGATATTGGTGGGGTGGAGGTAACACGAACAGCAGGGGGATACATTGGCTAAGTTGGACCCGTTTGTGTGCTCCGAAAGTACGAGGCGGCCTTGGATTCAAAAAATTGCATGACTTTAACATTGCTCTGCTTGCCAAACAGGGCTGGCGGTTGATGGTGAAACTAGAATCGTTAGTTAGTAAGTTATTGAAAGCTAAATATTACCCTACTTGTGACTTTATTGACGCGAGTCTTGGTGGTAATCCAAGCTTCATTTGGCGCAGTATTTTAGCAGGACAACAAGTGCTTCGGCTTGGAGTAGCAAGACGGATATGGAATGGTATGGAAACAAAAATTTGGAGATGGCCGTGGTTGGCAAGTTCTGAAAAACCGAGTCTAGATACACCTTGTATGGCGGGGTATGAAGAAGCAACGGTGAGTAGATTGCTAACGGCACAGGGCGACTGGGATGTGGAGCTAATAAGAGACATATTTTATGAAGGCAATGCTGTTAGGATTCTCGCGACGCCAGTTTGTGCACAACTTGGTGATACGTGGAGATGGCAAGGTGACCTTCGGGGGTTATACACAATTAGACAAGGATATCGGCTGCTCACTGATACGGCAGACAGTAACGATTGCGTGCCGGGCTTCTCGGCTTGGAAAATTCTATGGCGCCTACCGATTCCGCCCAAAGTCCGTAATTTATTGTGGAGGTGCGTGCGAGGGGTGTTGCCAGTGAAGGAGAATCTGAAGATGAAGCAGATTTGGATTGGCGGGGGATGTGCAATTTGCGAAGATTCCGCAGAAACAATTGAACATCTTATGTGCGAATGCAGGGTGGCAAGAAGATTATGGGGCGCAGCAGATATTCTACAGGGCCAATCCATACCAGTTTTCATGCATAACATGTTGGAATCTGGAAATACAGATCAGGCTATACGGCTCGCTGCTATTTTCTGGGCGGTGTGGACTGCGCGTAATGATAAAGTTTGGCGTAATATGGCATGCAATATAGATGCGCTGCAGATACAGGTAATGACCCTCCAACAGGTTTGGAAGAACGCTGTCATCAAATATAGATAGGGGGAATCAATAAGGATTCCAACAGTAAACTGGAATGCACCACCTGCTAATCACGTCAAGTGTAACGTGGACGCAGTAATTTTCACAGACGGAGTGGGTTACGGAGCAGTTCTTCGTGGCTATGATGGACGTTTCGTGGCAGCTCGTGCCAGACGAATCGAATGTGATAAGGAGCCGCTTGTGGCTGAAGCTATCGCGGTCAAGGAGGCACTCACATGGTTAAAGGGTTTAGGACGGAATAATTTAATCATTGAGTCAGATTGTTTAAATTTCTGTATTGCTTTCAATTCTCGTTTGGTAGATTTCTCCTATGTAGGCATGGTTGCTAAGCAATGTCATTTGATTGCTAGGGATATTGGGAACGTATCAGTTCGCTATATCAGGAGATCAGCGAATCGAGTAGCCCACGTGTTAGCAAGGGCGACTGGTTCATCGGCTGTCTCAGGCTCGTGGTCGTTAATACCACCTGCTTGTATTTCCAACGTTTTAAACCAGTAATGAAGTTGTTTGTTTTGTTTAAAAAAAAAAGAGTGTGGATTTCTGACAGGTGAGATGGGGGTGTCGATTGAGAGAGGGGGTAAATCTTGTTTGGAAAGATTTCATCTATGAGAGGATTATTGGGGGGGGGGGGGGGGGGGTTTAGGTTGGGTGGAGGTTTAGAAAGGGTAGGAGTTTATGGGTGGAGGTTTGATACCCAATTAAACTCTAAATTTTCCTCCTTTATCTCCTGATTTCCTCCTCAAATTCGTGTACCACAAACATAATAACACTCAAACATCTCGTTAGTAGCAAAAATTACTCCATAAATAATTAATCACACATACCAATTATATTAAACTTATACACGGTAATTTCCAATAAAAAATTAAACACATTTTGGAAACTAACAAAATTAACACACATATTCCTAAATTATAATTAGAAACAACTTTATATAAAAAGCACACAAATCAGATTAAAAAAATTTAGAAACTAACAAAAATATTAACTTCTAGATTTCTAAAGCATTTTATTGCAAATTATGTCACATATACTGCATATATACGAAACACATACACAATTAACACATTAAATCACATTTTGCACATAACACATATATTATTAAACAAACACGGTAAATTATTTTTAGAGCAAATTGTTCATGCAAACAAGTTAGTTTATTTACAGAAACATGAACACATACTCAAAAACTTATTAACACATTAAAACATGAAATTTTATACAAATTATCAAATAAATCACGAATTGCACATTTCATCAGATTAATTTGCATGGCATATGATCTCACGTTAAATAATACATGCAAATACATAAATAAGATCCTAACACATATTGCAGTTTTATCACATAAAAATTTCGAGTAAAAACATGCATATAAACACATAAAACAATTTATTCATATAGAACAATTTATTTTGAGCACAAGTATCAATTTAAATAGAGAGATTAAGTCCAGTGATACTTAGCTCAT